AATCCCAAAATCTCAGAAAGACACTGTATTTTAAATCTGGATAATTGACGACCTATTTCTCTACTTAATAATGATTATAAAATTGTAGCAATTTGTTTGGCAAAAAAAATGTCTTAGGACATATCATAGAGGAATCTCAAAATGGATTCATGGCTGGAAGACATATTATTGATAACATAAGGTTGGCTTTTGATATTTTAGACTATCCTGAATTAGTATCAGATAACAATTTTATTCTATTTTTAGGTTTTCAGAAAGCATTCGACTCAGTAGAACATCAGTTTATTTTTAAAGCACTAAATTTGTTTGGTTTTGGAGAAAATTTCATAAAATCGATCCGTACTCTCAATGCTCATGGAAATAATTCGATTAAATTACCTCATGGAACTACTACAAGATTTAAAATAGAACGTGGGATTCGTCAAGGATGCCCAGTGTCACCTTTTTTTATTTCTTCTCTCCCTACGCAAATCTTAGCTACTTTTCTTAAAGAATAGTGTTCTTAAAGGCCTCTCAGTTACAGGAAACACTATACTGTTGAGTCAACTAGTTGATGACACAGCTTTGTTTTTAAAAGACAAATCTCAAATTGACATTGCACTTAAACTCCTAAATACTTTTTCACTAGCCTCAGGTCTTAATTTAAACTTATCTAAATGTGAACTTCTTCCAATCAAGAAATGCGATGAGTCATCCTTATCAGGAATTCCTGTGAAGTATGTTGTGACATACCTTGGTATCACTGTAGTTACAGATCAAACTGCAAGAGCAAGTAAAAATTTTGATCCAATTTTACCCTCTTTTCAACAGAGATTTAATTCGTGGTTACAGAGAGATCTGATTATAACTGGTCGAGTCCTGTTGACTAAAACTGAAGGTGTCGTGATGCATCTCAGTAACCCAGGTAGAAAAAATCAAAAAGAAAAAATAATTAGGTCCTCTGGATGGGTTCTTCTTTAGTGAAACGTTTCGTCTCTCCTCCAAGAGACTTCTTCAATCTGATGAGTTTCAGGTGAACTCAGCCTTATAAGCACTGCCTCCACCTGGACAAACAGGTTAGTCACATGCAAAAGAGGGCCATCAACTAACAATAGGCTTGATTGGATCTATTGTTCATGGAGGGTCATGTGCCCCATCATCTGATCCGTGTCGTGTTATGTGTATGTAGTGAATGCAAGTGGGGGTTCAACGTCCCCTTGTTTTTTTCCCTCTTTCCCTCTTTGTGTTGGTATCATTGGGGCCCTGATTCACACCTTTTGCTCACAGGGGGCTGAGTCATACTTGCAATGACAGCATTATAGGTGGAAGACAACTGGACACGAAGGCCTCTGTTTAGTGGTGGACATTTTTTCTTCACAAAGATAGCTTCCTTTACTCCTCTCTCAAACCAGCATTCCTGTCTATCAAGGATGAGAACATCTTCATCCCTGAAAGAGTGACCGCTGGCCTGTAGGTGAGTGTAAACTGCAAAGTCCTGACCCGACGGAGTAGCTCGTCAGTGCTGGCTCATTCTTTTGAACAGTGGCTGTTTTGTTTCCCCAATGTATAACTGATCACAGTCCTCCTGACACTTAACAGCATATACTATATTACTCTGTTTTTGCCAGGGAACTGGATCTTTGGGGTGAACTAATCTTTGTTGTAACGTGTTTTGAGGTTTGAAAGCCACTGGGACGTCATGCTTAGAGAATAAACATCTCAGTTTCTCTGAAACTCCCACCACATATGGAATGACGACTGGTTTGGGTCTGGGTTTAGGATCTTCATTTTCACCTGGTTGTTGGCTGGAATCCTGCTTGAGTTTCTTGTCTGCTTTCAGAAAAGCCCAGTTAGGATAACCACACTGCTCCAGRGCCTGTCTTGTGTGTGACTTCTCTTTCTCCCTGGCTCCTGTGTTTGTGGGGACACTGTCTGCTCTGTGATACAGAGTTCTGGTGACTCTTAACTTGTGTTCCAGTGGGTGATGGGAATCACAACGCAATTACTGGTCTGTATGGGTGGGTTTGCGATACATGTCAATTTCCAACCATCCTCCATCCGAAACTGTGACATCACAGTCCAGGAACGCCAACCTGCCATCTTTTACATCTTCTCATGTGAACTTTATATATTTATCCACAGAGTTGATGTGATCAGTGAAATGTTGGACTTCCTGGGATTTAATTTTAACCCAGGTGTCATCAACATACCTGAACCAATGGCTCTGTGGTATCCCTGTAAAGGACATCAGAGCTCTCTTTTCCACCTCCTCCATGTGCAGGCTTGCAACAATAGGGGAAACTGGGGAGCCCATGGCATAAACTCAAGTCACACCTTAGTCCTAAACCACCAATGGCATTTCCCACTATGGG